GACTGCTGGTACCGAGGGTGTTAATTGTGGATCCAAGCAAGATGAAGCTGTTGACAATTGAGACAGTTCTAATCTTGTTTTAAGGTTGTTATGAAGCAAGATCAAATTGACAGCAGTGGGTTGGGCTAAACCATGCTGAATAATTTTTAAGATGCAAAGGGGTGCTGAGACCAAAACATTGAAGAACTGCTGATGTAGAACTCTGGTGCTGCTGGGATCTAAACCTAGCCCACCGTCTCTTTGTACAAATAAGGTTTATTATAATGCAGTCATCGTCACTTGTCTGCATATCATCTTTAGTTGCCTTTCATCTGCAATAGCAGGACTGAGTACTTTCCACAGAATTTATCTGGCTGGCAAAGCCAGAACTATTTACTTTCTGGGCCCTTATGATCAAATTTGCCGACTCCTGATGCATAATTCTACGAACAGCTGTCTGAAATAGCTTTTTTATTATAATTTCTGTTTAACAGATGGAAAAAGATGCACAGAAGGATTAAGAAACTTGGCTAAGATTTAAAAAAAACAAAACTTGGCTAAGATTTCATAGCCATTGAGGTTGGAGTTAATGTAAGACATTCCCAGAGTGGTGATGGTGATCAAGTCCTGAAATACTAGGGTATTTCTCCACCTTTATCATCTCCACCTCTGTTGCCTCCAATCTCCCTCTAGTAATAGCACCCCCAACCTGCCTTGGGGGGACATCTCCACAACCTTGGCTTCAGATTTTGAGATTTTTTTGCCCTGGACAGATGCAGGAGCTTCCCTTTCAGGTACCTTTCAGTTGTACCACAACTCAAACACAAGGTACAGTTGGTCCTTTGCTCACCTGAATCAACATAGTCCCCCATCTCATCAACTTACCAACTAGAAGTTTCTGGTCACAGGAGAGAGAAGCATTCACAAGCAGGGAGTGGAATTCTGGGGCAAGGTCTCTGTGGAATTTTCATCTGTGGACCAGCTTCTGGAAGGCTGGAGTGAGGGTGTGGGGACGGGTGGGCATCGGGTGGGGCTAAAGGAGGAGGGAGGACAGGACATTAGTCCCTAGGACGGTGAATCTCAGAGAGTTTGAGTGCATGTGTGCACGTGCCCATCCACACCCACTCACCCAAGTACACACACACGCACGCATGCACATGTAAGCACACCCAGGTACACATCTCCATGAGACCCCTAACATGGACTCGGAAAGTACTGCTTTACCTTGACTTAGGTGTAACCGCTCTTCCATCTAAAGAATGCCTTGTGTTTTTAGATGGCCGCCTCACTCCTGGGTAATTTAGGGGCATCTCAGGAAAGTCTGTGTTGGACACAGCTCAGAAGAGTGGTTGGGACTCCGATTTTTAGGGGCAGGTAAGTTGGGTGAAAGGGCTGGGGAATTGCAGGGTGAGGGCTTTGGCAGGGCTCTCTGACCCCTAAGGGCACCCTTCCAGGGCACAGACCCCCTTATCTGTATTTGTGGGTACCCCTAAAGGATGGACTCTTCATGTTTTGTGATGTCAGATGTAGTTTGCACTTGGCTACCAACTGAAAGGTTAGAGGTTCAAATCCACTCAAGCAGTACCAGGAAAGTAAGACCTAGTGACCTGCTTCCATAATGATGACAGCCAAGTAAACCAGATGGGGTATAGCTCTATTCTTTAACACATATGGTCGCTGCAAGTCAGAATCCATTAGATTCTGGGTTCGCTTTTCCGGTGTTCTCGCAGGTGCTCATCTCGTGATGTGGACCAGTCCTCTGATCGTAGGTAGCACCTGATTTGCTGTTGTGGATGGTCTGGGGATTTGTGTTTAAGGGTAGGTTAAGAGATGGTGTGGCTTGCCTGCTTTCTGAGCTAGGGTCTCCAGTGAGGACTTGGAGAATCCCTTGAACTTGATCAGGTTTAGTGAGCTCTCTGAGGGCACGGATTCATCTGCCTGGCTCTCTACTAGGTCCAGGCATCCAGAGCTAAGGTGGTAGTCACTCAGCATCCAGACATTGCCAAGACTGGAGAGCTGGTACCTGGAGAATGATGTCTCACATGCTCTTTGCCATTTTACAACCCGTTCTCATTGCTATCATGTTGGCACTGGCTCTTAGCTGACCCTCCAGCAGATGTCTGTCACTTTAAATCACCCAGGAGGCCACTGTCTTTCCCCGACAGAGCTGTTGGTAGATTCGAACTACCAGAAGGCATGGTCTTTGGGTTAGCAGAACACCTTCCCCAGACCCCCCTGCCAACAGACAAGGACCAATTCCAATGCCAAAAAGCCCTTTGATTCAACTTTTTTTTTATTTTTTTCTTTTTTAATGTCATGCAATAATTCACAGTCCCAAGCCCACAGTTTTCAAACAAGGTAGGAAAAAGGAAAAAAGAAGCAAAGGAATCAGTGGTGGTTTGGTTGTTGGTTTTTTTTTTTCTTTTTTTTTCTTTTTCTTTTGTTATTTCAAGCAGGACCAAATGTCAGAAAAAATGCTTCTTTTCTCAATCATTAATTTTTTTGTCCTTTTTAAAATTGTTTATTATTTTTTTTTAAATTGATTTCTGCAGGCAGTAATAGTAGGGTTTGGTGTAACCAGCAAGCACTCCTGTGTGTGTCTGAGAAAGTGTGGGGGGGTGTGAGTGTGTGTCTGTCTGGTGGAGGTCTGTGTGGGGCGCTGTGTTTCTGCTTCGCTTCCGGCTCCTTCTCCACACACGGCCACCAGCTCACGTTCACCAGGGAAAGGAAAGATTCAATTGAGATGATAAAACTCATCAATAGAAGCTATTTTTTTTTCTTCCCATTTTTCTTTAAAAATGTTTGTTTTTTTTTGTTATTTTTTTTTTCCCATTTTCCCCAAGGTTCTCCAAAAATGGCTGAGTTAATTCGAATCCCTTGGCGGTGTGGTTTCTCTGCCCTGTCGTGCCTTCTCCTGCAGGCGCTGCCCAGGAGGCCAGTCCCTGCGGGGGTGGGGTGGGGTGTCTTTGTGTCTGGTGCAGGGTCCCTGCAGGACACAGCCTGGCCTCCCAGCCTGGCCCTCACCCCTCCAGAGTCTGAGGTCTCCTGGCAGGTCCCCTCCTGGGCCCTCCGGTGGTCGGGAGGCGGCGAGGTGGACCCCTCGCCCGCCAGCCCGGGCCTCTGCGTGGCTCCTCCGGGTGGGTGTGTGCGTGGGGTGCGTGGGGGGTCGGGCGGGCGCGGGGGCCACCACGCCCGGACTTAGCACCAGTCGTCATCGTCGGTCTCGCTGTAGGGTTCGTGCAAGCCTTTCCGGGAGCCCGGCCCGCGGGGCCTGGCCAGTCCGTGGGCCGGGTAGTAGCCGTTGGGGAGCCGCCGGCCGTGCCGGGAAGGCGAGGCGCAGGCTGGGCCCGCGGCCCGGGGAGTCCTGGGCGAGCGCCCCGCGCCCGAGGTGTGGCGCGCGGGGGGCGGCGTGTCGTAGAGCCCGGGCTCCTCGGCCCCGCCGCCCGGGCCGTCGGCCTCGTCGTAGTCGTGGTAGTAGCCGTGGTGCCGCCCCTGGGCCCCCTCGGTCGTGTGCGGGCCGGCTGCGGGCCACCGGGTGTGGCGACAGGCCCGGGGGGACTCGCTCCGGGCCGGCCCGGGGGCTCGCCGCTCCATGCCGGGCGAGCGGCTGCTGCCGTGGCCGCCCGTGGGGGGCCGCTCCCCGACCAGAGGCTCGCTCACGGGGCCTGGGTACCTCCGAGGGCCGCTGGTGGCCGCCCGGCCTGGCCTGGCCACCTGCTGCTGCTGCTGTGGGGGGCCCGAGCCGCCGGCCTTACGGATCACGGGGGAATAGGACACGTGTGGCCGGGGGGTGGAGGGGGTCTGGGGGAGCTGGCGGCGTCCCCGCCGCGGAGTGCTGGTACCAGATGTTGAGGGGGCTGGGCTTCCACTTACGGAACTACTGCCCTACACGAAAATTGAAACAAAGGAAATCAAAACAAAAGATACAACAAAATCAACCAGAAAAAGACGGGAGGAGACACAGAGGATGGGACGGGGGGTGAGGGGAGCAAAGGAGAACCAAGGGGGGGGGCGAGAGAAGAGACCAGAGGAGGTGGGGGGGACAGGGACACAGGACGTTTGAATGGAAAAAAAGGAGAAAAGCGACAGCCACAGGGAAGGGGAGGGGAGTGAGAGAGACAGGAGGGAGTCAAAAACCAACACAACAAAGTGAAAAGAGAAATGAGAGATGGAGTTTTGTAAGTTTCGGGGTTAAAATAGCAGAAGTTTCAAAAAATTACTCACAGGCGTCCAGAGGACAGAAATCATAATTGAAACAAAAAGGGAAGCTGAGGTTTAAGGAAAGCAGACAGCGGGGCATGAGCCGAGAGGACCAGCTGCCAGACGCAAACGTGGTCCACAACCAAGGAGGAAGCTGCGGGCGGGCGGCGCAGGCGGCAGGGAGCTGGGCAGAGTTGGGAGCCAGGTGAGGGGGCAAGTGTCCACCCCGCTGGGGTTCCCTGGTTTGGATGGCAAGGCCGGGGCATCCCAGAGGTGGCCACGGGTCGGCCAGAAGTGGGGGGACTCTGCGTTGGGCACAGTCAGACCTGGCTGTGTGCCTGGTGGGGCCTCCTGGGGTTGGGCCAGGGCACCGTGGGCACACCCACCTGCCGGTGTGCCATGTGTTCTCGGCCCTCACTGGGGGAGCGGGACCAGCGCTGGTCTCGGACCCGGGCCCGGCTGTGGTCGGGTCGCTCCTGGCCATAGCGTTCTTTGTCGGGGGGCGGGGGGTGGTGGTGGTGGTGGTGGTGGTGGTGCTGGCGGTGCTTCCGGTCCTTGGGCCGGCCCCGCTCCTGGTCTCTGTCCTTCGATGGAAGGTCCCCGGACTGAGTGGTCATGCTCAGGTCTGTCCCCAAGCCTGGGCCAGGCAAGAGTTTTAGGGATAGACAGACAGACAGACAGACATGAGAGAGGCTGGGCTGGTACTAAGAGGTGAATTTGACCCCACCAAGAGGGCCGTGGTGTTGCAGAGAGGGTCCCCTGGGGGGAGCTATAGGGAAGCACCTTGTCCTAAGCTGTTGGGGGGGTTTGGGGAGGTGGGCTGGTGCAGGAAGCCTGGTGTAGGGGACCTGGTGCAGGGAGGTCCCGGTACAGGTGGTTCTGGTGCAGAAGGGCCCCAGTGCAGGGAGCCTGGTGTAGGGGACCTGGTCAGGGGGGCTCTGGTACAGGGAACCTGGTGGAGGGGACTTGGTGGAGGGAGTTCCTGGTACAGGGGGCCCTGGTTCAGGGGGCCTGGTGCAGGAAGCCTGGTGTAGGGGACCTGGTTCAGAGGGGCCTGGTACAGGTGGCCCTGCTGCAGAGGGGCCCCGGTGCAGGGAAGCCCTGCTGCAGAGAGGCCCCAGTGCAGGGGGCCCTGGTGCTGGAAGGCCTGGTTCCGGGGAGCCCTGGTGCAGGAAGCCTGGTGTAGGGGACCTGATGCAGGAGGATCCTGGTGCAGGGGGGCTGGTGCTGAGAGTTTAGTACAGGGGACCCAGTATGAGAGGCATGATACAGGGGACCTGGTACTTGCATTCTGAGCAGCATCTTCCTTCTTTTGAGGAGGGTGACCCTTGACCTCTATGTCTAGAGTAGTTCCAAAGGCCAGGCTCTCTTTTTCTTTAAGGGTACTCCCTCTCTCTCTCTCCATCTCTGCCTCTTCCAGATTGTTCTACCTGTGGACCCACCTGTGTCCACGTCGGTGTAGCGACCCAGGGAGCGCTCGGAGGTGCGGTGGCCCCGGTCTCGGTCTCGACGCCGCTGGTGGTGCCGCTGGTTTTCCTCAGGCGGCACGCGTTCCAGGGAGTAGTCGTCCAGGCGCCGGGCCTTGGGGCCCAGCACAGAGGCTGAGCGCTTCATGGGGCTGGTGTCTGAGATGGTCTGGGGGGACAGGCAAAGGGCTTCCTGTCAGATACCCTGTGGTCCCATTCGTCCCTCCCAGGGCTGTCTGGCCAAGGGAGGGTGCCTCATGGGGTTAGGCAGTGCCCAGAAGTAACCATGTGGAACATGTAATGGGGTCTGGCTTCTCGCCTGGCTGCTCCAGGAGTCACACTAGAGGCCTTGGACTCTTCCCCCAAAGACAGAACTTAACGTCCTGGGCCTATCAGGGGTTTGTTAAACAGACTCAATTGATCCTCCCTTAATGTTCCTCAGACCACCCACAGAAGTCGCCCCTCCCTGGGGACCCCTCCAGGATGGACTGGTGGCTGGCTGTAAGCAGGTTTTTTCCCAGACAGGTGTGAACAGGGAATCCTGTCACTGGGCAGCCTCGCCTCCCCCCATGTGGTCAGGCTGCCTGCTCAGGACCAGGCCCCAGACCAACTCTCCTGAGCCGTCTTCGTCTAGGGCCCTCCTGAGGGTCCACGCTAGCATTTAAGGCCCTGGGGCTATATCTCCTCATCCGTGATCTGCAGCAGAGGGGGACCTCATGCCCATACCCCTCAGGCAAGTTCTGCACAAAGACCCACAAGTCTCTGTGCAGGCAGAGGAGAGAGAAGGACAGGGTGACACTTCCAGGGTCTGGCCCAGCTGAGCTGCTGGTGATGCTGCCCCAGGAGGAGTTTGAGGGGCCACCGGGCCAGAGGGACCGCAGGGCAGGGGGACGAGACTCTGAGAGAGAGGTGCGTACTGGACCAGGAAGGGCCAGCAGGCCAGGTCTCTCTGAAGAGCTGGTCCCCCCAGCTTGGGGCTCTGAGGGAGATGGGGGGCTCGCCCTTCAGGGCACACACAGAAGACACCACACACAAGGAGAGGCTCACAGAGGGGTGTATCTGCAAGAAAGGGTGGGGTCTGAGGAAGGGCAAGATGACAGGACGCCCACGCGGGGGGTGGGGAAGAAGAGGGGGCCGGAGCCGAGCCGGGCAGTGGGCAGGTGTGGTACATACACTGAGGTTATTCCCACGTGGCCGGCCCCTTCTCCTCTGTCACAGCCCCACGGGATGGTGCACACAGAAAAAACAGAAAGAAGAAAATAAATATAAAAGCCCGGGGAGGGGGAGGTCAGGAAGTGGGGGGCATGGAGGTGGTGCCGGGAGGGGAGAGGAACCTGGGAGAGTAGAAGGGAGAGAGGAGAGAGATTAAGAGTCCTGGTGAGGGGGTGCCCTTGGGCTAGACCGCCTGCCCTCCCACGGGCACAGGTGGGCACATGGCAGCTGAGATCAGAAGAGACGGACAAGGAGACACACAGACAGATGGCAGAGGCACGAGACCAACGACGGGCTCTAGCTGGCACTGGCCCTGCCCCTCCTGGGGCCCAGCAGCTCAGCGGGTGCCGGGGCTGGGAGCCACATGCAGGCTGGGTGTGCCAGGGTCACAGCAGCCAGAGGCCAGGCCCGTGAGCGACCCTGGGCCCTCGGGACAGCACAGCTCCCACCCCGTGCAGACGCCATGGCACATCACAAAGGAAGCTCGCTCCAGCCAGACATGCCGCCCTGGGGGCCAGCCCACCGCACCCTCGACCCACCGCAGCCTTGGTGGGCGCGCTCTGCCCCCGTCTCCAAGCTGCTCGGTGGTGGGCAGGCCCCTGGACTTCTGCTCTCCGGCCGGGTGTCAGCCAGTCATGCTTCTGGCAGCTCTGTCTCCAGGGGCCTGGGCCAGTGAAGTCACCAACCCCACTGCCTCCTGTCCTCCCTACCCCCTCCGCCTGCAGCTGAGTAAAGCAGCCACATAGAGACAGCATCAGGCACACAGCCCGCCCCACCCCACAGCAGACCCCACAGAGACCAGACAGGAAGTACAAACCCCAGCTGCCCACCGGCCCAAGACTGGAGGACCTGCCCTGTTCCCCAGCACATCCACACTCGGGTGTGCACGTGTGCACACAGGGAGGCGTCTTGCCTGCATACGCATCCAGGTCCTAGCAGTCGTCTCCCACCTTGTCCTCCAGCACTCCCCCATCAGGACCCACCACTGTCCCCTACCCCGCAGATGCCTTTCTGTCCCCCAGCTCAGACCTCCCTTTGGGAAGAGCTAGCAACGGGCTAGTATGTCGGAGATGATGAAGATGGTGCAGCTAGACCAGGGTTCGGATCTGTTGTTCACAGGGCCGCTATGAGTCACACAACAACAACAAGAGGAGGATGAAAAAGGACCCCTAGTAGCACAGTGGCTTAAGTGCTGAGCTGCTGTCATCTGTTTGAATCCACCAGTTTCTCAGAGGACGACAGTCATTTTCCTTAGATTCAGAAGCTTGGAAAGCCGACGGGCAGCTCTCCTCTGTCCTAACACCTGAGTGGGGATGGCTGGGTGGCAGTGGGTTACAGGTTAGAGGTCAGAGGAGTACCAGGCCTCAGCTGCTCCAAGTGTGGGGGGTGGGGCCTGCTTGGTGCTGAGGGTGCAGAGGTTCGAGGGAGCAGCTCAGGCTCTGCCTGGAACGGGGGGAGGGGGTGCCCTGCACTGGGGCAGGGTTGGTGAAAGCCCCTCACCTGGTTCTCGGCAGGCAGGCGGGGCATGGAGGCGGCCCGGGCCTGGCCCTCCATGGGGAGGTAGTGCTCGCTGTCCGAGTAGCCGTCTCGGCCCATCTCTCGCATCTCCACAGACTGTGGGCAGATGGGAAGGTATGAGCCTCGGTCCGGCCCTGCAGCCTGCTGTCCTCAAGAGTGGCCCAGACGGGAGGGACCCTTGACCTGCCCGGCCTGGAGGCTGGGTGCAGTGGGGGACAGAGGCACCTGAGAGTTGGGCTGACTGTTGGGCATGTCGGTGGGTGGCCCCCGCTCTGGACTCCACGTGCCCGTCTTCTGGAACATCTCCTGGGCCCGCTGCGTCACCCAGGATGGGCTCTCCTTGATGCCACCTTCATGAGCCATCCTGCATGGGGGGCAGAGGGAGGGTGTCTGTGGGCTCCAGGGGCTCCCCTAGCAGGCATCTTTTCCACCCCAGCCACGGTGACACTCACAGGCCTCCTCCTGGGTCCAGCTGGGTGGAGGGGAGGGCGTTCTGGCCGGGCCCGCCCTCCTGGGTTGGAGACGGGGGCTCCATGCGCTGGAACATGAGGGGTGTCCGATTCTGGGGGTACAGAGGGTAGTGTGTACACATAGATGTCAGCAGGGGAGGGGACATGTGGGGACAGTACCAAGCCTCTCAGTGAAACGGCAGGAGCTATGGAGGGGTGCTCCGCCCCCTATCTGGGCAGAAACCCCAGAAATCACTGCGGATACCTCCAACACCACACCTTTGAGTCTGAACTTTTGGCCAGGTCAGGCGATGTCGTCCTGCATCTGTCCAGACCTCGCCCACTTCTGCACCCACCCAGTTTCCTCCCTGGTCCCCAGTCCCCTCCACAGCCACTAGAGGGCGCCAACGACCATCTTTGTCAGTTCTTGGGGTGCCTCTTGCTTGTGCAGGGCAAGAGCCCGCCTCCTCCCTCCCTGAGACCCCCAAGGGCCTGCATGACCCGCTCCGTCAGCTCCCTGCCCTCACCGCCTCCCACGTCCCCCCTTACTGACTGTGTTCCACTGTTCTGGCCGCAGGCCCTTTGCACGGGTGTTCTCTGCCTGCAGCATCCTCCCTTAATCTCTGCTGGCCGCAGGACCTCCCTTTCCTTCACCTCGTCTCCAGCATCACCGAGCCCCCCAGTCCTCTAAGCTCCCTTTCCTGTGGCTTCTCTCCGAGCGTCCCCTGCTTTCTGATGTTTGCTATGACTGCATCCTCTGTTTTGCTGTCCACTCCTGGGGAGCAGGGGTTCTGGTCTGTGCTGCCCACAGGTGCACCCCTGGGCCTGGCACATGGCAGACAATAAATGCTGGCTGAGCAGATGAGTTAACCCGGGACAGGCCTTCTTGGCCCGCCCCTGCTTCTCAGTGACCTGTCCTGGGCTTGGCCAGCTCTCTGTGCTGACTGGTCTCCTGTACCTGCTCCTCCCGCATGGCCTGAAGCTTCTTGGCCTTGCTCTGGCGATAGTACTCCATGATCATCATGGCGGCGTAGATCTTCCCCACCGTCAGGTCCGTGGCTGGGGAAGGGGGAGCTCACGGTGGGTTCGGGGCCTCTGGGCTCTCCCACCACTCGGTCCCCCTCCCCATAGGCAGGCTGGAGCCCCGGGGGGGGCCAGGCCAGGAGGTTCAGCTCTTACACTTGTGAGGTGTGACCAGCAGGTCCAGTGTCTTCTGGGACAGATTGGGCCAAATGGCCATCATCTCCTTCCGCAGCTCAGCGTCCATCTGCTGCTTGTCGGCCCCACCTGCAACATGAACACAGGTGGCCTTGGGGGCCTGGCCTGCTGATCTGAGGCTCTAGGGAGCAGGGCCACCAATGTCCCGGTTCTCACACATCTCCCGGGACCCAGGGACCTGATCCAGGGGGTCGGATGCCGGCATTAGGAAGGGCCAGCCTACCTGTGGTCCAACCTTGGCTCTCACTCATAACTGTTGTCTCCAATAAGTCACCCCACCCCACTGTGTCTCAGTTTCCACATCTGTGTAACGGGGAAGCTTTTACGTGCCCCGCTGGTTCATGCAGGTGCTCCCCTGGGCCAGATGGTTACTAAAGCGAGCAGTGAGCCTCGGGCCCAGGAAGCCTGGGCTGCCCCAGAGGCTGCCAGCAGTGGCCTCTCCCCTTCCACAGTCTCCTCTCCCAAGGATGAGTCTCTTGCTGGATCTGACCGTGACTCAGTGGGAGCCGTGGCTACTAAAGAATTACTCATTATTTTAGACACAACATTTTGTTAATATTGTTGTTACATGCCGTCAAGCTGCTTGTGACTCATAGCGACCCTATGTACAAGAGCCCTAAACTCTGCTCTGTCCTGTGCCAATCACACTGTCTCTGACACTCCCACCCCGATTATCCCAGTCACTGAATCAATCCACCTCATAGAGGGTCTTCCCCTCCTGCGCTGTCCCTCC